TACAAACTGTCCAATATAATCATGAATTAAAAAATTTAAAGCTAAAAGTTAATAAAAGTAAAAACAGGTAAAAGCTCTATCTTTCTCGCAATAAGAGCCAATGCGCGATTCACGGATACTACGAATATTATGAATACTACATATATATATTATCAAATATTACATTAATAACTTTCTCACCATTATTTTCAACATTACACATTGAAGTTGCTCTGAAATAATTCGAAATCCTTTGATAACATCGGACGATGCGTTCAGAACTGCGTTCAGAATCTCATGTAGAAATATTCATCTTCGATCTACCGATCTTCAAGTAAATTTACACACACTTTTACTTGGAACACATTTAACGGTTAATAGTGACATTAAACGAAAATTTATCTTGAGACAAAATGTTTCTTAGCGCGAATTAAAAATTACTACTAATTTGCACCGCACAGCACGTATCATGAAATTTTCAATTTAAAATCAATTTAATTAAATTAATACTAGAGAGTGTATTAGAATTCATTAATACTAGAGAGTGTATTAGAATTCATCTTTTGGAGAATTGCATTTTTAACTATTATGAGAAATGGTATGTAATAAACAAACTCAGTATAATAGCAGGTATAATATGAGTATAATACCAGTAAAAAAGAATAGACAAAGGAAAAGTAAACGAAAAAACAATAAAGATGAAAAACAAAATATGTATCCATTTTCGTTGCGTTAATGAAAAAAGAAATCCCTGTATATTCTCCAATGTAGATTTATATATTTCAAATTTTGACATCAACCATGTTTCGATAACATGCACGATTTTTCTCCGAAAGTACGGAATTACAAACATGCACGTTATAATACACAGTATCCGTAATATTTCTTCTACTTCAAAATAGTCATTGGAATTAATATATATAATTGCAAGTAACACTAGTACAAACACAAATATACCCATTTTAATAATCTTAAATCACTTTAACGTGTTACCGATACGACTCGTGAACGTCTAATGAGATTTTACTTTAGAGAATTCGCGATAAGACCTTGGGGACAATGATAAATACACATCAGTAAACGACTTTTTTCTCCGCAAATTCAAAACATACTTGTTGTGGAAATATAACTGACGATTGGTACGATATTTCAGGAAATGTAAAGTCTTTTATTTTATTATAGATTATAAAATTGTTTATAAGTATACGTTGAAATATAATGAAGATAAAAATCATTTAAATTTATTTTGTGCCGAAATAAAGATGTATCGATATGTTAAGCATAAAAATGTGACGCATTCCACATTTTGAGTGTAACTCTTTTAGTCGAAGCTCAAGATCGATAGTAGAATATTTAATATCTAAAGAAAAGTATCGATGCACTTTGATATGAACATTTTACGTTCAGTACCTTAATGAATGTTTATTAAACGTAAAACAAAACGCAACAAAATAATTCTCTTATTACAGATATTTACAGTTCTAAGACACTCTTTAACAATTTTAATCATCTTTTGTCATAATTAGTTGAATATTATTACGTGAGCATACTACTTTCGTATATTCTTTTCGTTTTTTTTTTTTTTCGGAGAAATGAGAAGAATATTTTAAACGTCCAATTTTTCGCGTGCGAAAAACATAAGTTTCTCAAGCTGTTTCTAAAAAGATGGAAATGAGCGGCATGATACCTATTTAGATACAATCTGAACACAGATACAGCCTAATCTAATACGGTAGATAGGTTAATGGCTGATTACACCGGGCACGATTAATACAAGGTCGAGTAAAGGGTTAAAGGCGCTAGACCGAGCAATCAACAGTTACCCTTTATATGCACACACACATACAACTATATATGACAATATCTATATAATTATGATCCAAAAGTACTAGCGATATAAATGCTTTGCTATACATATTTTTGTGAGAAGTAAAGGGAAGTTTCAAATCCTTATTATGTGTTGGATATTTTTTGATCTATCAATGTATAGTATAAACTTTCTCAACCATATTTTTTATTATTTTTATTCGCAAATTTACTATTCTTAAAGGAGCTACATTTTAAAGAGCCGATAAATATAATTTAGAGACGAATTGTTTAAAATTGTATCTTTTACACTATGTCATGAATGACTTATATAACCAATTAATTTGTTCTGGCAAAAAGTTGACTAACTGGGGTGTCTTAAACATCGAACTATAGCTTTAAATATTAATTTTCAAATTAGTATCAAATGAGAGATATGACATAAAATATCTTAAGTAGTCTGTGATTTTAGCAACTCTCCTTTATGCGATAAGTTATTTAATCGAAAATTTAATGATCTAATAATTGTACTATTCTTTTCTTCTCACAACGCACATTTTATTAACTCCGTAAATATTACACATGTATTATCAAATGCATCATAAATAACTTGAAATTTATACTAACTGTTACGCTCTGATAAGTTTCTTGATGCTTTCCGAAATCCATTGATAGTAACGATGCATCCATTGCAGCATCTCTCACAACATTCAGTTGTGGTCCATCAACTTTCATCAAGTATATCGCGTACCCTTGCACTCACGACGCGATGTGTTATATGTTTTATTTATCTCGAGTGGAAATACACGAATTTGTTTAGCGATTAAGAACGAAATGGAAATGACTGCATCGATCTTTATTGCATTTTTCTAACTTGTTTTTAATTATTTTGATCACGTTGCTCAATATACATGCTGAATAAATAAAAACACAATAAACGAAAATTACATATATATAGTATCAGTATCAAGAACAGTATCGCTACATTCAAGGAAATAAACACGAATAAATGATTATATGATGACATAAGTAACTCGACAAAAACTTTTGCTAAAACATCATTAAATAGTAACACAATTATAATTATAAAGAACACCATAAGAAGATCTATAATTTTACACATTTTAATATCACTATTTCCTGTACCTTGAATTTACCCGAACTTTTCGTGCTACTGATACGACTTGCAAACGTCTAAAAGCATCGAGACATTGAGAGAGCTCGCAAAGAGGAATGTTATGAAGAGGAAGGTTATAAAGGCCCGGGCACATAGAAAAACATCAGCAGTAAGACTTAAGCAGTAAGCAAATCAGCCAATCACATCAAGAACTTAAGACATAACGTATAAGCGGTAACAAATCAAAACCGTGTTGATTTCCTTACTGCTTACGTCTTACTGCTTAAGTTTTTCTATGTGTCCGGGCCTTTATACAAATCAACACGAATATAATTGTCCTTCATGAATTCGAAACAGATTTGTGGTGGAAATACAACTAACGTTTGTTACACGAGCAATGTTTGCGATTAAAAATATAAAGCAGATATTTTATTGTGAATAGATTAAAAATCGAGTGTACATTGGAATATAATTAAGATAAAGATATTTGTTTAATGAATTTGCTTATTTCGTGGCGAGATATAAAAATGTATCAACATAGAAGTATATTAACAGCATAAATTATATAAGATATCGTTAAAAGTAATCCTATATATTTTGGTCCCACATTTTAATACTAATGTTTCGTGTACCTTGATTTACTCGAACTAGCTAACATGACTCTATAATGACTAACGAGAGATTCCAATTGTGAGAGTTCGCGAAGGAGCATTGGAAATAATAAACACGATAAGTTGACACGAACGACTTAGCTTCGCTCTGTCGAAAATTTGTGATGGAAATATAACTGACAGTTGTTATACCACAAAGCTAGAAATATAAAACCGGTATTTTAATTTATGAAATAGCTTAAAAGTCGATGATACATCGAGATATGATTGAGATAAAAAAGATTTGTTTGATAAATTTGTTTATTTCGTGCCGAAATAGAAACATATCGACGCAGAAACGTACCAAGATCGATATTTTATCGAGGAAATGATTAACAAATCAGGTTTTGTACGGGAAATATAATCGGACAGAAAATAATCTTTCCGCCCGCGCCGGCTTTAAAACCATCACGCGGGCCATCCACTGGATTGGTACCTCGCCGACGGTTATCTGAATGCTGAAGCGACTTATTAATAATTACGCGTTGACCTACTGCCGCTTTTGGAGTCTGCGCTGTTTTAGCACGTTGCTTAAACATTACATTCAACGAATGAGGTGAAACGTTGTGTTACAATTCGTCAAATATGGATAAAAAATGTAAATTCTCCTTTTCATAATAGAATTTATAATTAGTTTCAATTAATTTTAAAGACAGTTTACTAGACAGCTCCAGATTGCTTAAAAAATTTACTTGTACATCTCCCTATTTTATTTTCGAACTGAAATCAGGGTAGTGGTATTTAAATAGAGGGTGTATCGAAAAAAATAATCATCAATCACAAAATATATCAATATTTTTTACATGAATGTAAAATCTTCTTTTTGACGGATTAAAATCTAATCGCAGAGTTATTGAGCACTGCAGAAATTCCGGCAAGTAAAATTTCTAAAATTTTTATTTAACAAGTGAAGTTTAATTTGAAATAAGAGAATACATGCGTAAAACGTATGTATTCTAGTAAATTAACGACCTGATAAATCAGATAAATTAATCTCTTGAATAAGGACGTTGACGAGTCGGGAATCTTTATTAAGAATGGAGAAGAATTGTTGAACTTTTACCAAAGAAATCTATTTCAGTAAAGTGGAGAAAATCTCTCTAAATGTTGCTTTAATTATAGTACAAATTCGAGTTGTAAAATCTGTTTTGTGTGACGATATTACGAAGGTATTCAACAATACCTGAATTGAAAATTATCTTGAAAATTTTCTTGGCGGATTAGCGCAACGAAAATGATTATAACAATAACAAGATTATGCAACAGAGCGAAATGTTTATAATTTGTAATCTGTAACAATATCTGCATGTGTACATGATATCACGTATGCTGTCTGAGAATCAGGATATCGCGGTAATCTATTTTAAATCTCCTTCCATCCCGACCCGCATTCAGACTCGGAAATTCATCGGCAATAAGACAATAAGAGCTCGTTTATTCTTGTGTTTCAGACGTTCTGCGTGGTATCCAAGAGGTTCCGCAAGAACTATATTCATAGATTTACGGCGACCAACAGTTGGTTCATATTCTCCCCGTGGAATCCTATTCGGCGGTGCTGTATCTTCCTAAGTACGAATCAGTACTTCGATTACGTGGTCATGGCTACTATCCTTCTTAACTGCGTCTTCCTGGCCATGACCGAAACCGTCGAGGAAGCCGAGTAAGTATAGACTGGTGCCTCATGCTTATGCAGTAGCAGCGACTAGTCGATCGTCAATAATTTAAACTGTGCTTACTTGTGTTGCCGTTATAAAATAAAACAATCGTACTTCTTTAAAAATAACGGTCGCAGTGCTATTTATAGTCATTATAAAATATTTAAACACAGAATTTAAAAATTCAGTAACGCATTAACTAATTTCGAATCAATTGTTTCTTAGCAAAAATTTAATTAGACCTACATTTTTCGTTTTATTTCTCAATTTTTAATATTAAATATTTTGGTTATTAATAATTATTATCAATATACATCATAATATCATCATTAAATATTTAATAAATAAAATCATAAAACATTAATGTATCGCATAATTTATACAAGGCTATATATTATTAAAAATTTAGTATAGCAAAATCCGCCTTGAAAATTCGGTAAAGAAAGTTGTAAAGAAAAAATTTTTTATTTCCAGGTGCTTGTAAAACCAATTGAAGATTAAAGCCTTTAATATTTCGCGATTTTGTTAAGAAAAATTTGTCTTTAAGTATTGGGCACAAAATCTATTTAATCATTTTATATTTTAAAATATAAGGTAACTCCGCATTCGAATTAATTTGCTAATTAATCATGTCTACAAGTAATATCTGCGGAATAATAAGAGTCTGATATTGTCATTTCGCGAGAAAGGCATTCTTTATTAATACTGCAGTCGTAATATTGTTTTCTTTGTTCTCTTGTTCCTTTATTCACTCATATAAATGTGCAAAGATATGATAAATGTGCATTAGAACGTTCTAAAGACAATTCAGAAACAAAGGCAAGTAATTACCAGCGGTCGCGTTACGTAAAATACTTTCTCAGAAAGCACACGAACGTAAATATGCATGTTTTCTTACGATTTTGACAGCTACTGCAGCTTTGTTCTCGAGATTTTAAAAAATCCGGAAAGCTATAAAATTGTTTGCTAATCAAAAATCTAATTCCGAGCACTCCGCTTTCGGTGCAAAGACACGATTACATTTTTTTCATTCGCATTTTTTTCATCGCATTTTGGAAGCCGCTCGCTTTCAGAATCAATCAAAGTTGCCAAATTCTCAATTCGATATGTTTCGGCTATAGTGCTCGCGAATTTTATCGAATATTGGTTATTATTTGTACACTTTTTCTACTTAATATTTTTTATCACAGTTATATAATAACGATTGGAAGAGCAAATTTCTAATTAACTCGAGCACGCAGTTATCTCTTGTTTTCGAATTTTGTGATCGATCTGTTTACCACAAGTCAATCACTAATAATCTCGCCTATTTTATTCTGTTTTTAATGCTATTATTTTTGTTCAATTCCAGAGAGTACAAAATATAATAAAACTGCGTGGCTCACGTTATCACGCGAAGCAAAAAAAATTAAAAATGATCGGAATAAATCACCATTAAAGTGATTTAATAAGCTATTCTTCCGAAATGGTGCATAACTATTAAAAGAAATTATACTAGAGTTGTTTTATTATAGTCGAGATCAAATCTTTCTGACGCGTTGATTTCTTTGGGCAGACGTCAGATCGTAAAGTATAAACCCATAAAAACTTTTTAATATCCGCATTATAAACGTTTAGTGGAGTTAATATCTTCAGACATTGTTTTATCGCAGTCTCTGAACTATAAAACTGATTTAATGGAGTCGATACCTTCCTTTTTTCTCTTCTCTCATACACCAATATTTTCTTTATAGGTAATTCTCTAAATATTTTTACAATTTCTTTAAATATTTGAAGAAATATCTGTTTTATTTCTTTAATAAACAAGTATCTTTTATTGAGATTTACTTTTATTGAGTGATTCCGTTACAAAAAGCACAATTCGTTTGCCTTGCCCCACTATCTTGAAATTCATCTTGAAATTTATCTATAGTCATTTAGCACATTGTGCACGCCCTGTTAGACTAGACTTGCGTTAAGCTTTAGTTAGGCTTTTGTCAGTTAATCGAAATCCGTGCGGCATTCTGGGAGTTAAAGACAGGCCTGACGCGTTCTCTTTAAACATGCACAACTGGCGTTCATTTCATATGTGTTCGCTTAGCATGTAATCCTCTTAAGCTAAGTATCCTCCAGCGAGTAACTCGCGACAGTTCTCGCCGACTGCGGATAGCAATTCGTTTAACGTGCTTCCGCCGAATATGTCTCGCGGTAATTTTCCGCAACTGCGGTCTGAGCGAAGGCGTGCCAGATTAACGAGGCTTTCAGGATGGTGAATAAGCGATCTCTTCAGAGTTCCTTTCGGGAAGTTAATTGGCCTAACTCGCTTAATATAATGAGGAACTTATAGACGTTTCATAGACGCACACAGTTTAGCATCTATTGGAAAATATTAATTTTTTATTAATAACTTTATTAATAACTCTCAAGCAGGGAGCTGAAGGGGAAGCTCTGCTTAAAATCGTCGCTTTATTTAAGTTATCTCTATATAAGCTATCTCTGTAGAATAAAATAAATATAACTGATGTGCCTAAGCATAATTAATTAATATTGTGATGCTAAGGTACTCGACACCCACGACAGAGCATCGATATTTCGATGCTTTTCATGCTATTTTCTATAATTTGAACGCAATTTCGATGATCCCACGCTCGTGTCGATCCCACGCTGGAATCGCGCAAAATGTTCATTAGGAACATTCGCGTCGCTATGCGATCGAGGAGAGCACCTCATCACGCCGCACAAAAGCGGAAACAAAGGCGGACGCGCCGCTGGTTATTCCGTATACCCTCGGCGCGGAATGTGGGTCCGGGGGATGCAACGGATGTGGTGCAGCGCCAATGCATCTCCGCGCGGAGAATGCCGCAGGGCGCGACGTCCGAGACGCGGATGGAAGCTTTAAAGACCGCTCTCTCGCCGGTGTCGTCGAATTGGGTCGAAATTCAGTGCCGCTGTGCACGGCACCGGCGAGAGTCGAAGCCGAGGGAAAAGGTTCGTGGAGGAAAATTCGCGACGTCGTCGATTTCGTCGAAAATAATATATAGACAAAATTTTCGTAAATTGCAAATAAGTGGCTCTAATGTTTCCAGAAATGCGACCAGAATTTCTATCGCCCTTGGCTGTTCCGTAACGGTTTACGTAATGTTTCAACGTGTATAGGACAACGTAAAACGATATAAAGATTTTTCATGAGACGGCTATTCCATAAGCATGATGTATTTGTATTGTTGAGAAAGTTAAATTGATTGCTAGCAAATCTGTGTTTGTAATACTGCTTGAGATGATTGATTCGGTACAGGTGTTTATAGAACAAGATGATTTATACGAATGTAAGTCTATAGATCTGCATCTAATCTCAATTTGAAATGTAAAGTTTAGTTTACGTGCTTATAAAATTACGCACAAAAATATTATTACGCGGGTGTTATTTTGATTAATACAGAATAAAAAAAGTATATATCTATTAATTGTAATTAATATGTACTTTATTTATTCTGTATTAATTAATCTCTATTTATAAGAGACCTAGAATATATTTAAATTTAATGTAAAGAAAAAGAAGTTGTTAGATTTGTTATTGTATTTTTTATACGATGCTCGTAATAGAAAATCAAACTTTTCACTAAATATTATCTAAGTAGTTAAGTTTCATTATTTTTCATAATATAACAGTTTTCATATGCAGAACAAAGTTTGAGATAATCTAAATAAGATGCCTTACATTTCTTAAAAATCATAAAACTGTAGGGAAAGATGACTTACAGTTAAATTCCAACTTCGTCATGGAATAAATTTGTCGAAGCTGGTTACAGGAAACTGCGGTAGTTCGGACATGTTCTATATAACATTTTGACTTCCCCGTAAACATGTCCCGATAACGAACGGCAGCGGATAGTTGATCTGATGTCCGATGTTTCTCCGATGTTACAGATATATCTTCCTACTTATATACACGGCGGAAATGGTGATAAAATCAATCGCGAAGGGATTTATACTGAACAAGTACACTTATCTACGGAATCCCTGGAATTGGTTGGACTTCGTGGTGATTACCAGCGGATACGCCACTATCGGGATGGAAGTCGGGAATCTGGCCGGTCTCAGGACGTTCAGGGTGTTGAGAGCACTTAAGACTGTATCCATTATGCCAGGTAATATAGCGAATCTGTGGCACGTATTTTTCGCCGCGTTTGATTCGACCGAGAACGGGAGTGCTGAACAGAGTTCCTCTATATTAAAAAGTTGCAACGACGATCTCTAGTTCAATCTTTTGAAAACTTAATGAGAAGAAAACATCGAAACAGTTAAATTGAGAAATTTAGCTTTAGTACACAATTTTTGCGAGGCGATTACTTTACGCAATTAAACATAATACAGCGATTATATATATTTCTTTTCTCTTTGATTGTGAGTTAAAATATTTACAAATATCGCGAATGAAACAACTGAACGCGAGTGTATATATCGATGTGTATTGATGATTATAGTTGACAAAATATTAAGCACCGGTTTACGCTGCAGCGATTAAATGCGCGCGATCAATAACAGTAGACACGTATTAATTAGCTGCGGATAAACTGACCGCTTCTTGTATTAATTCTGGCTTTAAATCAAGCCCGCATTTATGTACCTTTCGCTGAAATGAGCATAAACAATTGCTCCGAATAGCTAAAAATCGCTTGCTTTTGCGTGCCAGCGTAATGCAGCGTGATTTATCGCGTTAATCTATTCGCATGACAGAAACCGAGTGACGTATCGCGGCAGAATTCGTAATACAGTTGCGGGCTTGCGTTTATTATTCAGATATTTATACGTATCTTTTTTGACACCCATTATTATTATTATTATTATCTTTACAATATCGTGCATTAATGGCTTGATCGAAATTACAATATTCCACATCAGAATTCAACGCAATGTTCCGCATACATAACTAAACGTTCGCGGCACGTACGTCTATTTTTTGCGGTCGCGTATGATTGCGTATTAATATATGCATGAGAACGTTTAGCGGGACGTCGGTTCCGTTCGCGAATCGCTCGCATTTATCGCATAATCGTTTTCCCTGCAACCTCTCGCAATATCCAGCACCGAAGATCCACTTGGTGGGACTGCACGTTTGTAAATTTGCGACAGTGTGTTAAAGGGAATTGCCGAGCTTTCGCGTCACGTGGCTACATCGCGCTCGAATCGAGAGAGAGAAAGATTTGCGATCCTTGATCGGTTATGTGTCACGGCCAAGTATGTTCGCAATGGGCAACGATGGATTTGACATTTGCGATATGGAATCGTCGATAGGCAGTTTACGGTGATGCGTACAAAACGAGAGCAAAGTGCGATCCGATTTTTATCTTTGATTTACCGACCCGAGGAATTTATGGGTACGATCAAATTTATGAAGAAAGGTTATTTATCATTATTCCGAATTTTCCCGAGAACAATATTATTAGAATTGAAAATTACCCGAAAATGTTTGGTGTCTGGGATCGCTGAAAATCTCTCGAATGATAATGCCACATTATCATAAACGTGCGAAGGTAGTTTGCATATTTACGACAATGTTGCATTATCATCTGCACTTTTGTGTCGCTTTTCAAGTCGCTTTTCAAGTCAAGATACCAAGTACCTTATAAACTCAAGTTAAACTTCAGGTTTACTTTAACTTATTATAATTTCTTGAATATGCGTCGAACATTTCTCTACAATTCCATTTAATTAAACTTTTTGTTTATTTTTTTTTCTTAATTCTTCCAGCTTGTTATCGAGATCGTCGTACGATTTACAAAAATCGTGCGTTTAGATACCGGCCGTTCTATATTTATTCACGGGAAATAAAAGTGATGGATGAAAATTATCTGGCAAGACGCGCACGGCGAAACGATAATAATGGCACAACATACGCCGAGCGGCTTTAGACCGAGTACGTCGAAACTTCAGCGCGAAATAACAAAGCGAGAGGACGGAAGGCAAGGAAACGGATGGCTAAGGCAATTCTCGGTCTCCAAATTACAGAGATCAAAAGGTATAATGGGAGATCATAAAGCGGCAGTCCGTCTCTGGCTACTCGAACGAAAAACACAAAGCGTCTGCGGCCCCAGAATGGCGGAAGCGGATTTAAGTCTCCACGGTGAAGAGATGACGGGTTGACCTGGGTGTATACAGAGAACGGCGAACTTTGACCGAAGTTCGCAGGAAACTCGAATGCGGTGAATGTCGTCTCTTGGTGATCCCGCATGGACCGCCACGGAGATTATTCCTGATATTATCGAAACCGTTCCGTTTCGCATCTATCGTACGTCCGATGAAAGGGACCGTGATTTATCTTGACGGTCCGTCTGATATCGATTTCAAATGCCGCGTGTGCAAATCGAAAAAGTGCGCGAATGTACACGGCTATTCATACCGAACATGATTTATTGATTCGACTGGAAAAAGCCTTTTGCCCAGTGCGTTCCAATATCGGAGTAAAAACCTTGGTAAAAACAAATTAGATGAGAAACTTTTAATATTCGCGAATATGCATGATTAACGCTGCAAATTAAGGATCTTCGATCCCCCTAAGATTCTCTTTGGTAATCTCGAAAAATCGTCTAAGTTATACGGGTCGAGCGCATACGACCTGATAAGATAAGAGATCGTAGTGCATTTCTATAGCACGGCGTTTTTGAGAACAATCGAAGGCCGCGGGATAGCTTACTCGTGCTTCGCGAGATTCTTAAAGATCGATGAAATGAATGCCCCGCTAACGATACGCTAGAATGAATGACGCATCTTCGGCAGTAGGTCAATAGGATGTCTCTCAAGTAAAGCTGCTCGGAAAAATCGGCTGCGACTTTGCGAGACTAACGGCGAACGTTAATAATCTAAGACACGCACGAAGATTAAATTGTTTAATAAATTAGAAAATGTTAGAATATTACTTGCCGCGCGCGAAAACTTTTAACTATTAATATTAAGTAACTTAGGCCACTTAGGTCGGGTTCGATCGAACTTCGATCAACTCCATCGGCGATTAGTTCAACCGGCAGAATTGCTTAAAGCAAAATTTCTAACTACATAATGCGTTGTTCTTAATCTAATCTTTTTGCCATGTAATAAACAACAAGAAATTTATAATTCTATCCATGTTAACAAAAGTATTTGATAAGCTAATTGCTGATTAAGTTAATCAGAATTTGGTCGAAGTCATCGCTAGCTGTTAAGAAGAATTCTATTAAAATAATCTACACACAAGCATGTACATTTATGATATTAAAGAAAATTACGTGAGTTGTGATGTATGTTGCAGGTCTAAAAACTATCATCAACGCGCTGTTACACAGCTTCAAGCAACTTGCCGAAGTAATGACGCTGACAATTTTCTGTCTGATGGTTTTTGCACTGTTCGCCTTGCAAGTTTATATGGGCGAACTTAGGAATAAGTGTGTGAAGCATCAAGAGCCGAATGCCACACAAATCGACTGGAGGGAGTAAGTTATTTTTATTATTACGCTTGCGTAAGATCAGATTTTAATTAATTCCGAATTTTTCTCCGAAATTGATAAATGTTCTCATTCGTTTAAATATATTCGAATTATATTAAGCAAATTTTAAACATTAGGTAATATTGATTCTATATAAAATGTTTATAAAGTTTTCATTTTCATGAATTAAGTATGATATTTAGTTATTTAACAAAATATTGGATTTCATATTAGCACTGTTTTTTTGTTCATACTTCGAGGAATTTTATCGTGAAACCGAAATAGTTGCAGATAATTTAAACTCGAAAAATAATTACTTTTGGATATTTTTGACATTTCTCTAAATCACAGAGAATTGTATATAGGAGAACTGCGAAGTATTATATTAAACCGGTAGTTGAAAATATGATTCCGCAAAATTTTTGCTAGAGAGATATATTACATAACGTAGCTGAAACTGTTTGATATTCCAATGCAGAGACTCTCGCGTTATTTTTGCGTATTTTCAAATACAAACGTGCTTCTTAATTAAAATATTATCCTACACAAAAATTGTATCGACTTTAACGAAAAAGTAGTATACATTTATTACGATCTTTCTCATCGCAAAATTGTTAACGATTCATAATAAATCACGATTTGGTGATGTCCAATACGAAACTAATTGATAAATGATACATTAAGACACTTATTCGTATCGTAAAACAGATCGTGAAGGAGGAAATGTACGCTTAAACACGAGGACAACAAAGGATCATTACGAGTAATCAAGATGAACGTCCTGTGCATCGTCGTAGATATGTAAATCGTGCAGGATTGTTTAAAGCAGCGCTTAATCGTCGCTGTAGTCCGACCATAATCAACGACACGGTTTCCGCAAGCGTAGTGGTAAATCCAAACAGTCTGGTGGCCTAAGACCAACGGAATTAACGAGGAGTTTAGTAAACCCCTGTAGCAAATGCATGCTCAATCTCTTAACAAATACACACAGAGAGTGTTTTGCCTCTGAGCAATTATTGTTGCTAACCGAAATAAGATATATTCTTGTGAAAACACCCTGCGCTCGGGCACACTCTGCGCGGCTGACTGCTTCGTCGACCATAACTACTTGCGCCGCGAGAAATAATTTCCCTGGTGGCTCTGGTGCTGTCCTAACAAGTAGCTATCATTCAATTTCTTTTATAAATCGATAAAACAACATGAAATTAGTGTGAATAAAATATCGTGCAAATCCGTGACATATCAAAGCTGTCTTGAGTATTTTGTATTGTTACATTTCGAAAAGTAGTCGAAAGAAAGAGCAAGTTTTGATTAGGCCAGATAGATCAGAACGATAAATACGAAAACAAAGCACATGTCGGGGGAATATGTTCGTGTCGTAATCCGTCACTCGCGGCCGGTGTGTGGTGCACCGCGTCCCAACGAGCATTATTCGTTTCCGCATCCTCGGCGCGAGCGCGGTGCGGCGCGCGTTTACGAGCATCGTTATCAGGTTTCCGGTCGCGATGCCAAACGGGCCGCTCGCCGCGTGCTTAGGAAGCTATCCGTCGGCGGATCTCATTGTCCGCGCTTCCCGAGCCCCGACAGCATCGATCCGCGTTCGGTGCACGTTCCGTCGGATCGTGACGCGTGACGTGACGCTCTTCGGGGAGACGCACGGATGCGCCCGTTACGCGATGCACCGCATTAAAACTAAGAGGCACTCTCGAAAAGCACCGCTCTTTTTCTACGAGAGTCAAGTACACGGGGGGTGATTTATGCGAGGATTTATGCGCGCGGCTCGAGGTGGAAAAAAGTGCGGATATTTGCAAAAAATGGGAACGTTGCATTATTTATGAACTCGATTCCATAAGAAGAGAACCCTACGACTCGCATGCAATAAGAATTATTGTAAATTATATATCATAAATTATTATGATATTATATAAATTCGAGTTATAAAATATTGGCTGATGGCAGAAACAACAGCTTTCGATTTCTGATTTAGATTTCTGCGAAATGTTTAAAACTTATCTCGAATAAGATTTCCCTCAGGGGTTAAATTTAAATTTTGCAAAACTTGCTCTAGCGGTAAATTTATATAATTTTTTATGTTCAAATTAAAGCAAATATTAATAATATTAATAATGAAGGATGGAAATATAGTTCAAGTTCACTTTTTGTTAAAGAAACGATCGCATCTGTAACTCTGTATCAAATGGCAGTGAAGCACTACGTGGCAATTTGTTCCGCTCGGATATACCGCTTCACATCGATTAAACTGAATGGTCGGTAGCGTTGTATTTCTGTCGCGGATAGGTATCGCTGTACGATACGATGATCTTGCTGCTCGTCATGACGGGGGAAATGCGGCCGCAGGCGAAAGCCCATATAAGCAAATGATACGCGTATTCTCGCCGTATTAATTCTCGGCGAATGCAGCCACACGATTCCCATTTCATATCATTTAGGTAATTGAAGCGGTGGTCCAAAGCCAAATGCAGCGTTAAATGAAAACGAGAAATTAATCTTACTCTGTGTTGATTAAACTAATACTGACGCGACGCTCACCTCTGTTATCAATAATTTAAAGTAATTAATAATATGGTTTCTGAATAAAAGGAGAAACGTGTGGAAATTATGCATTCTGTCATAAAATAATCGTGATTTACAGTGTATATTCTGGTAAAAAAAATGTATGTTTGTAACCAGTTGTAAACGCGCTATCCTACACATCTGTCTTCTACATTGTCACGTTTTTTTATCGGATTTTACTCGAAGCTGATTCGATTCGTTCGCGCCGTATTGGACAGCAGCAAATTGAGGAAAACTGATCTGATAAATTGACTGCCGCGCGACGGCACGTAGAAAGACGGCAGGATATATAATTCTCTCGCTTTAAAATCTCCGGAGATCGCGGAGCCTTGCGGGACCTGACACAGGAACGCTAACGGAATTTTCGTGTCGCCAACAGGTGGACTTGGAACTCATCCAATTGGGCGTTCGACGAGGACGAGGAGCCGATTATCTGCGGCAACGTAACCGGCGCCAGGTTGGTGTCTCTCCCTGACGCTTATCCCCGATCCCACTTCAGATAAGCTAATTCGAGAGACGCGAGGGTCGCGTTACCTCTCGCGTCAACATCTCCTCTCTCTGACAAGTGCCATTTCGATTTCCCCCTCGCGAGGAGATTGCGAGGGAGGCGAGGAAAATGGCAAATTGCGAGGATGCCTCTTCGTGCCGATATACGTCTGTCCTGTAGCGAAATCTCTCAACGTCACGTTCATTCTTCTCGCGGTACTGGAGCAGTCGAAGAAGTTTTCGACACCCCGACGGAAATTTCATCCCACGCTGTGGAAAGATTTGCCCGACATCAAGTAAAGCGTTTGCAAAGAGAACTAGTTTTCCGTCACAGAAATTTCACGGCTTCTTGGAAAGAAAATTAATGGACGAAAACAAGAAAAACAAACGGAAACAAAATATATTAATAGAAATAGCTGGCAGTAATTTAATTAAAAATAGTATTGTTGATTCAATAACAGTATTAATACGTAATTCTCTTGTTTTAATAAACTTGTTTGTCTCATTATTAAAGTAACAAAATTATTTTGAAATAGATCGCTAATGCTGTTAAAAAATAGATCGTGTAGTTTTGAGAATTTTATAGTTATCCTTCCACACCACACAGTTTAGATATTTAAATAGAAAATTACGTTTAAAATGAGGATTGGTTTGTCCATAAAAATGATTCCGCTTTCGTAACGTGTTTCATCACGCGCTGCAAAACGTGTATACGGCGAATTGCGTCCAACGTCGAGTTTCAGAAACATAATACTCGTTCTCGATAAGACATAAATCACCCGTTGATTATCGGCGATTATGTAAAATCGTCAGGGAGCTGTTACAGATAATCACCGACGATATTACACGATCATTTCTTATAGCTGCCAGTTAATCACGAGCGACGTAAGGATATTTCCATTATAATATCCGGTTATACGCGATCTCGCGAGCGTGTCATTCGTCCGATCGGTTTATTTCGTGCACTCTAGCGAACGTGCGCGAGGGCATCTCTATATTCATCGATTTTCGGCGAGCATCCATTCCCCAAATGATTACACCGGGCGCACGTACGCGCGACGGAATTCGTTCGGCTCATATAAATAAGTTTGCAAAAGCTTTACTGCTTTACGGCGGCTCATGAACTTTACAGCGCTCTTTCGGTGTCGGTGCGGTGTCCCGCGGAAAGTAGGCTTTTTATTCGATCGATACGTCCGGGCTGTGACGGTTTCTTTGCACTTTCGATGACATTCCTGTAAAGAACTCGGCCGACCGAGGAAATATTACGCTTATGACAATTTTTCATGGATGTTTTACGTCGAATATTTTACCTTTTTTTATATTCAAAATCCAAATATTTGGAAACATCCAGATTTCGATAATTATTATTATCTTTTAATCATGTAAAGAACGTTACGTGAAAAAAAGAATTGAATGAATAATGAGACCAAGACGATAAATACATATTTTTCGTCTGAGAGAGAAAACGTTGCCGAACATGATGACAAGAGTTAAACAGTTGTGATTTTACAATGTCAATTTTTCAAAATAATGAGACGTTAATTATTCTCGCCCAACAAATGCAGGGTAGTCGATAATTGCACGGACTGGGCGTGAATACTAACGCGGTAAAGGCTAGCAGCGAGTAATATTTCCACACTTGATGATATACTGCGGACACTTGAAACGTTCTCACGGCTATCACGGATATTGCAGCGTCGGCAATGTGGGTCTTACCTATTTTCCAGGCACTGCAACGAGAGCTACACTTGTCTCTGCGTTGGCCCTAATCCAAACCACGGTTACACCAACTTCGATAATTTCCTGTGGTCGATGCTCACAACCTTTCAGCTGATTACCTTGGATTACTGGGAGGACGTCTACAACAAGGTCGCCGTCTGAAAGATTTTTCTTTGTTCGTCTCGCGGTATAAACGGGAATTGTAGCAACAGTCGTACGCTTTTTCGTGCTTCCAAATTTCTACAATGTGTCTTTCACACAAAGTTATATAAAATTCGCTATTCGTTTTGACCTGGTTTTCTCTGAATTTATATTAAACGAACAATTCAAGGAAATTAGTGGAGGAACGAATTTAACGTTTAATAAAAAACTGTTTAATAAAAAAATGCACGAAAATGAAGGTAATTGTTTCCCGTAGTTTCTTGGGCTTTGAATATAATTACTGTTTACCAAATTGCTCTACTATGTCAGAATTTTAGAAAATTTACAATTAAAGTTGCAAAAAGAATGTTCAAAAAAAATTTAATTTTTTGTTGAACAGTGGTTATCGGATATCACATACATAAATTGAAATTTATATTTTTTTGCGAGTGAAATTGAGATAGTTGTATCATCCAGAAAAATATCAGAAATATTTCAGCGTATCATATTTGTTGTCATAAATATTTTATAGGGCCATTCGTTATAAAAATGATAAATAAAGTTTCGCGGAAACAGGTGTTGTCGGCATGCGGACCTATTAGCGTCACGTTCTTCACAGTCGTCGTTTTCTTTGGATCATTTTATCTGCTAAACTTGATGCTGGCCGTCGTGGCGTTGAGTTATGAAGAAGAAGCCGAGATTACGAACGAGGTATGCCATCCATTTCGAATTTTTATGTACACCCATATTTTATACTTTAAAGCTGAATTTCGAAATACTACTGCGAAATATTAATTCGAGAACACCACTCGAAAAATAAATAAAACAGAGAGTTATGTTCACTTCTACAATAATGCACTAAAAATTCGTAATAACGTAATATATGTCGATCGTTTATCATTTTTTATCACGCCTTTTATGACCCTGTCTACATGTAGCCGAGTATTTCCGTGTGCAGGAACGAAGGAAAGACTTGACGGATCATCGTGAGGATTCGACGTTCAGTTTCGATCCGTCGAAAATCAACATTAAGACACTGACGAAAGATAAACAGAAGAGGATAGACGCCCGTAAAGGAGTCTTGCTCAGCAGTTATACGAGGAAGAAGACGCGTAGAAGAAAACGCGGGAGGAGCAGCGCCGGTCAGGAGAAAAACGGTGGTGCACGCAGCAGGTTTCTATATCCGTATTTACGACCGACTTTTCTACGGCTCGATTTGTCACGACCGTTGTTATCAGACACGCATGTCGTGCACATTTACTGAGTCATATGAATAAAATAGGGTTTTTTTAGTCTTGTTTAACTGAGAAAATGCTAAATACAAAACACATCAAAGTTGTTTATGTTTAAAATTAAAACATTTTTTCTTAAAAAAAAAAAAAGAAATTACTGAGAATTATATAAAAGAAATGCTTTTAGCTTTTTTTAATATACTTGGAAAAATATAAATAAAAATGTTTAAATGTTGATTTATATATACGTATAAAGTATAAAGCTTTTATAAATGAAGAAATTAAGGAGACATTTTGTTTTTGCTCTTATTCGAAGAAAATAATGTTTTGTAACAAAACTATGAGTGGAAATATTAAAATATATTTTCATGTGCATATTTGCTTTTTTAAGTAAAAAGTTGTAGTAAGTGTAACGAAAGCGGTCTTAATCCTGTCAGCATCTCCGCGCTAAAAGTATTCAGTACTTTCGTGCATTTATCGTATACGGAAGGTTAAAATAATATCTAAAACACCCGTATACATATATACATATGTATATATATGTATATACATATAATGCAGCTTGCTGCGAAGTCGTTAAACTGCAGCAAGCTGGTTCTGGAAAGACAGAAAGAAAGAAAGAAACATCGTAAACGCCCTCATTTCCAAGAAACTGTAATAAAAGAAAAGAAGGGAAATGTGCTTGCCTTGCAATCTCACAATGGTAGGCCATACAATATGGAATTCATATTCCAACGAACTTTGTACAATCTATCTCAGAATTATCGCTACTGTCTTCATCTACGGTTTCTTTTATCGACTCGCAATCGTTTTATATTTAGCGAAAATTTGATCAAACGTTTTTTATTTAATTACTTGCAGCTAATTTTCCAATATATTACAATGCTGTTAAATCAAAGTCTACTTAAAATGAATTAGAGGATAAAATTTTGTAAAAATTAATGCATTAATTTTTTATTTTAATTGCTTATAATTATTGCTTATAATTATTACTTTGAATTGTTCGTACTTCGATTTTTTGTTTTGACAGAAACTAGACTCCATCTTGGTTAAAGAAATTAGAAAAAAAGAATAGCGATTGTTTATTATTAATTTGAAGAAATTAATTGTCACGTAAATCAAAAAGGGCTTTACTTCCTGAATGACACAAAATTATTTTCTTTTATAATTTATAGGTAATTCCTTATAACAATCTTATTACAAAATTAATTTTTTTCAAATCCTTTTTTATCTTGCATCATATTTTTCATAAGTTTCCAATACATCGATCAACAAATTTTAACAATAAATTGCAAATTTTCTTTGAATTATTAAATTTTAACACTACCTGGAATGACCTGATTTAGTAATACGTACAATCAGGAAGTGCCTGGGTATTCCCCGAGTTAATGTCATTATTATAAGCATCGATTTCGCGTAGAACCTAGCTGCAACTTCATACAGTCCCGAGTCTAATTAGTATAATTAGTCTAATGCTTCGAATAATCGTTTATTCGTCCGGTACGATCCTAGCCCTTTAAAATTGCAGTTTGCTAGATCGCGTAGCGATTAGGAACTTAAACGTCTAACACACTGTGAATTAAGTATTTATGAAAATTATATATAGAATGATATAGAAATAGAAGAAAATAATCTTAAAATAATCTCAGTTGAATAATATTTCTCTGGATATTCTATAACATGAAAAATTAAAGAAAGTTGCTGTCAAATATTAAATATAAAAATAATATTAACTATATATACACATTCTTAAAACTCAATATTTCTCGTTTAGATTTCTTTGTACAGGATAAAATAGTTTTTTTTTTATACATTGAATTTAAACATTGAATTTCTTCTGAAGTATAACGTTAAATTCTATTGCAGATCCATTACACCCAGTCCGAGTCCAAGTCCCAGGCACTCCAGTGTACGGCCTTGCCACTTGCCGCTCCAGAACATTAGTCCCAGACCGCCGGAACCCAATACGGTTCACCGGCTGGCGCCGAATCGGGGTATGTTGCACTCCAGGCAAGCCAGCAACAATAGCAATCAACAGTCGTCTTTGGATGACTCCGGGGTGGTGGATGACCACGACGGCGACGATGTCACGTCCGCCGAGGAACATGACAAACGGGAACATCGCGTCGAGAAATCGCAGGAGAAATCCCCGAGGGAACACGGCAGGGTCCAACCAGCCCAACAAATGCGCCCGGATTGCCCACCGGCGCCGGTCACCGTGTCGGTGAGGACTGGCAATCGGGAGATTCGAGTGCTCAAGTGCAACGGGGTCAAAACCAAGAAACATATGTACGCGCTGCCGCCAGAGTACCTGTCGCATATTGTAGTTTTAGGTGAGCGAGAACTACGGCATGCTGACAGCGTTTATTTATTGAAATAATATTACTATAGCAATTGAATTAGCAGCTTGAAATATTTTTGGATCAATTTTTGAAGTTGATTTTTCCCCAATAGAGATACTGTGGAAAAATTTGTCAACCTCTCTTTTCGAATATTGTTATTGTGATTTAATTAAAATTCATGATTCTCAATGTTGAATGTTTCAAAGTTACGATAGATAATATTTGTTGCGCGAGTTATTTTATATAACTGAATTGGCGAACTAAAATTTGTCCTCTAATTAATTTAGCGCCATGTTTTGTTTAACCATATATATAAACTGTGTGCGATATTTTTTAGTTAAAATCAATTAATATTTGTTTTTTTAAATTACATATAATTCTGTAATTAATTAAAATACTTAATATTCAAAGCTTGCAATAGATAATAATGGCGCATGGACTGCATTATTTATTTAAAATTAGCTGTATTAGTATCTACACTATTTGTATATTCCGCGAACGAGGCATTATAATTTTATTTTTAGTATATTTTTTTTATTAAATTAAAAATATCTAGATTTGTTAAATGTACGTTAAAAATAAAATAACGTATTATGTAATTACAGATGATCTTCCAGATAGAAACTGCGATAAGTGTATTCAATGCTGCGTTGATTATGAAGGATGGCTGAGATTTCAGAACTGTCTGTATAAGGTAAATTTATTGATCCGGGTTAGTTACAAATTAGATGTGATTGGCCTAAATAAACGGCCACTAATTAGCATCGAACCAAAGTAAAACATACTTAACGTTGACCTGGTTCTACCCACACGAGATAGTTTTTCGAGGCGCGTAATTATATTAGGATTTACTTCGTCCTTCGTCACGTTTCACTAATTCAATTTTTAGGATTACAGAACGTTATTTCCAAACGTGATAGCAATATCTGGACATTATTATTTCGACTTAATTTTTATTCTTTTCTCACTTTAATTTAAAAAGAATAAAAATTGTATAATAATAAATTACTTTTATATTTATATATAACATAGAGATATATTATAAAATAAATTTCTAATTTGTAAAAAGAGAAATTCTTAATATTAATCTAATAAGGAATCAAATCGTATGCATAAATTGAAAAACTATCTTTCCGTAATCCTGTTTTGTGACGTGAAAACAAATCGCAGAATATATATAATTTGCGTTAAGGTGGTGAGAGATCCCCTGTTTGAACTAATGATCACCCTCTGCATCGTCTTGAACACCGGCTTCCTGGCGATGGAGCATCATGGCATGAGCGAGTCGATACGGCAGGCGCTCAACATCGGCAACAAGGTGTTCACCAGTATCTTTACGTTCGAATGCTTCCTGAAGCTCCTGGCGTTGAGTAAGGACTTCTTCAACAATGGCTGGAACAACTTCGACTTGATCATCGTTTCTGCGTCGCTTATCGATTTAACGTTCGAGTTAGTGGACGGTCTGTCGGTGATACGTGGTCTCAGATTGTTACGCGTTTTAAAGCTCGCGCAATCCTGGACGACGATGAAGGTTCTCCTCAGCATCATAATCTCAACGATAGGCGCGCTCGGTAATCTGACCTTCGTACTGCTGATCGTGATCTACATATTTGCTGTGATCGGGATGCAGTTGTTTAGCAAAGACTACACCCTGGACAAGTTCTATCCGGATCCGGTGCCGCGATGGAACTTCAACGATTTCTTCCATTCGTTCATGATGATATTCCGCATTTTATGCGGCGAGTGGATCGAGCCGCTGTGGGACTGCATGCGTGCGGAAAGAGACGACGGGCCGGGTACGTGCTTCGCGATATTCCTGCCGGCTCTGGTGATGGGCAACTTTATGGTCCTCAACCTCTTCTTGGCGTTGTTGCTCAACAGCTTCAATTCCGAGGAGCTGAAGCAGAAGAAAGAGGAAGTCCGCGACGAGTCAAAGCTCGCGCGTTCGTTCGACCGCATACGGTCGATCGTGCGTAAGCAGAAGCATCAGAAGGAGAATTCCGAGAACGAGAAGAATATCCGGCTGGAGCAGATCGTGCGCGAGGTGATGGATAAGTCCGACAAGGAGAAGTACGCGATACAGGAAACCGTGCTGAGCCTTCCCAAAGACAATATTTATAATAGATCGTATCAGGAGAGTCTCAATCAGCCGGTTTTCACGTACGACCCGATCTATCGTCAGGCTACTCTCACCACCTACTGTAGTCAGAGCAGTCAAGAGACGGTCAAGGAGAACAAGAAGCTGACCGAGAAGGGCAACAGCAACGAGACCAATCCGGAGGAGAGTATAGAGCTGGAAGTGCTGAAGGACGTCAACCCGGACGAGGAAGTAGCCATGCTGCCGGAGGAGAAGCCGACCATTCAAAACGACGAGAACATAGCGAAAAGGCCCTGGCATGCCCTCGTGAGTTACGTGGACGAACTCACGGTCGGAGGTAGAAGAGACAGTAAGGGAAGATATATCGACGGGATGGGCTCGTTTCCCGGGTTCGGCAGGAACAAGCAGCACAAGGAGCCGCTTGATTGCCTTCCCCAGCACTGCTACCAGAAGTAAGATGCATTTCTAGTTTTATCGGCATTTTAACATATAAAATGAAGACGTACGTTGCATATCCACTGAAATTATTTATGACGAAAATCAAAATCAGATCGAAAATTATATTTTAAGAACTCCCACTTTATAAGAATACAAATCCAGGATTCTTAGTTGATTACTTGTTTGCTTATTTGGTTTCATTAAATATTTAGATTGCAATTCGAATGATGTTCGATATGTTTGTTTAGGTGTAGCTGTATCAATCGTTGCCTCGCCACGGATCTCGGCAAGAAGTGGATAAGAGTTCGTACGGTCGTCCTGTCGGTCGTGGACACGCCCGCTTTCGAATGGATGATCCTAGTTTTAATTTTCGCATCTTCCATAACGCTGTGCTTCGAGGACATCTACTTAGACGACAATCCTTTTTTGAAGAAGCTTCTCTATTGGACCAATCTTGGCTTCTGCGCACTTTTCAGCGTCGAGATGCTCCTAAAATGGCTAGCCCTAGGCTTCTGTAAATACTTCACCAGTTTCTGGACAATCCTGGATTTTATAATCGTTTTCGTAAGTACGATCAGAGTCTCGCGCCCAGTCGATGTAAAATGCAAAACTGTGTGCGATCGCATACGTGTGGCATGAAATGTGTTTGTCGATTCCTTTGCTTGCCTCCAAATATTATGTATTTGTATTCAGGATGAGCCATCTAACTTATTTAATAACTTTATAAATACTTACAATTTTTATTGTTAACGAGAATTATAAAATGTTTGTTGTACGTCGTTAAATGGTGCAAAATATAAGTTCAAGTTAATATGTGTGCGCATTCTTTTCGAAACTTTTAGTGATTATTAAGTTTTTTTATTCAGCAACTTCTTAAGTTTATGCTCATAATGAACATTGTAATAATTATTTTATCCCGCAAACTTAGATGGTTCAACTTGTAAATATGATAAGATAAAATTATTGAAATCATATTGGATGAAACACGCGTGATAATTGTTTGAACGTTGTTTCCGTGTTCCTTTTTTATGTGTTTTATGTGTGGTCTCGTGGATCCAGGTATGTTGAAAGTTACATGTTTCAGTACGCTTCCATTTGTATTGCATTAATTTAAAATATATTTATATTTACCGCAAACGCATGTTATACACGTATATTACTTTTTTATTAATTATACATGGATTACCAGATGAATAATGTTTGCATTATTAATTAAACTCATATGCATGAAAGAAATAATTAACAAGTCAGTCAAATAAGAGGAATCTGTTAAAACATGACTACATTAATAAAATATTTTCTGATCTCTGATAAATTGTAGTGTTTGCATTTGTAAAGAATGTCTTAAAAATAATGTGTTATATATGTGTTATGTATTAACAAATATAAGCTGACGTTTACTTATATATATTATGATTTTAAGATATGTTGCTGTATGCATTATAATACAAGAATTACATGCAGTGCCTTCAGAAACATAAAAGAGAATGAATGTCTTTATTCTTTTCATGCATATGTAGTTTGCGTGTTTGCTTGCTCAATGTAGCTTGTAAATTTAATTTCCTGCACAATTTATTCGTTACTCTCTTTGCATAAGAATTTCATTAATTAAATATTTATTTGTAATTCAACTGCACAATAAATACAATATACAAATAGAAATTTCCGGATTATTTCAATTAAAAGTCAAATGTGACAAACTTTATTTTATTTTAATTTTCTACATGCGTACATATATCTTCACTCTTAATATATTTTTTAAAACGCTCGAGCACAATTATGTTTATAATAATTATTAGACTATTCTTAAAACTCGTACATTATTGTACGCAAATATTAAATGCAAATACATTATTTAAAATTTTGTTTGTCAGAATTTAAGAATCTAATTGCATGAATTTCTTCACGTGCGTTTAATAAGATATATTGTAAATAAATTACGCTTTTTCTCGAACAGGTATCTATGTTTAGCCTTTTGATAGAAGAAAATGAGAACCTTAAAGTATTACGATCACTGAGGACACTACGCGCCCTGAGGCCGCTGAGGGCGATCTCGAGATGGCAAGGCATGAGGGTAAATATTGCGTAGACAAAAAAATCTACGAAAATCCGTTTGAAACACGAACGACACAATATGTGAACGCGATTGTTGCGTATCATTGAGAGGATTTTTCTTCCCGGCTCACAGATCGTAGTGAACGCGTTGATGTATGCGATACCTAGTATATTCAACGTGCTCCTCGTCTGTCTCGTGTTCTGGCTTATTTTTTCGATAATGGGCGTCCAGTTCTTCGGCGGCAAGTTCTTCAAGTGCATCGACGAGTACGGAGAAATGCTGGATATTTCGGTGAGTGTCACTTCATTCAGATCTGATTATCAAGGAGGATGGTACGAGGAGAGAGTAAACTATATTCAGACACAGATCTAAATTTATTATAATCAACTATAATATAATTTTTTAATTAGATAATGATATTAAAATATTTAGATTGAAAATTAGTAGTCGTATTACATTCGCTTTTATGAAGCAACATCAGTTTCATTATCCAGTAATGATGCTCCAGTATCAATTTCATTATATAAATTATGCACATTGTTAGTTTTAATTATGACAATCAAATTTTGGCAATAATAATATTTTTCATGAACGATACAAGTTAATATATCAATTTAATCATTATTTAATATTAATTCAGGATTGATCATTTTTCTGACACAATCATTTCGATTTTAGATAGTGAACACTAAGGAGGAGTGTTACAGCAAGAACTACTCTTGGGAGAATAGTAAGATCAGTTTTGATCATGTTGGCCTCGCCTACCTGGCTTTGTTTCAAGTGGCAACCTTCGAGGGATGGATGGAAGTGATGGAGGACGCTGTGGACGCGAGGGGGGTGGATCTGCAACCGCAGAGAGAGGCGAATCTCTGGGCCTATATCTACTTCGTTATATTTATCGTCTGCGGTTCATTCTTCACGCTCAATCTCTTCATTGGAGTGATCATAGACAATTTCAACATGTTGAAGAAAAAGGTGAGCGATGGTCTGGTGAAATCTTAATCTTTAAAATATTATTCTATTCTTCGTCGCGTGAGAGATAGTCCATTTTATCAAAACAAGAGTAATTATTTGTGTCATATAATCACGAAAAGTTTGATATAAAATAAAGAAAATTATTCATTATATATAATAAATATTTAACTTTATATTAGCTTAAAATGTTCATGCGAAATTATTTTTTAACAATTTTGAAGAAACGTATCTTTGATACTAAATTATTTAACACTTGATATTTTAATGATTGATAAAAGTATTTAAGCTTCTTATTAAGTATTATTTCTTAATATGCATAGCAAAGTATGTTTTTTACGGATTCTTATAAGATTTTTGTGACTGAATTCTAGAATAATAAAACAACGATTTTTCTTTCAGTACGAAGGTGGGGTGTTAGAAATGTTTTTGACCGAAAGTCAAAAACACTACTACACTGCCATGAAAAAACTCGGCCGTAAAAAGCCACAAAAAGTTATAAAACGTCCGCTGAACCAATTCCTCGCAATGTTCTACGACCTGTCCAATTCTCGCAGGTAATTGTATGATTCCATGTGGCAAAAAGAAGCACACTGACACTTTGAGCAAAGAATTGTGTTGCTTATAATTGTTTCTGTTGATGGTCATACAAATTGATGTTATTAATAACACTTTGGCAACCAACTTTATTCTTTATAAATCTTGTGACAGTTAAAAATCTTTGCAAGTTTTCTTTGCAAAAAGCATTATTATAGTTAAACCGTAACTCAATTATTTTAATCAGGAAATAACTTTATCTCTATCTTTTTAAGTATAAAGTTTTTTTTTATTATATGTAACATATATTTATAATTTTTATAGGTATTATTTCTCTACTACGATATCAATTTCCTTATAAAATCATTTTTTTATTACAATTATTCAACTCACTTTTCTCTTCAAGAAATTTTGTTATCTAATAAAATTTTTTATTTATATAGTAAGAATATATTTATAAAATTATCATCATTGCGATGTAGCTTAACAGTTGTATGTGTACACATTGTTTAGAATATTGCGTATTAACTTTTTCCATCTAATTCGAGGCAACTGTTTGGTGTCAAAGTGTTAATCTGGCTTTTTTTTACGCAATTAAATGCACGTGTGTGTTATTCGTTGCAATATAACGTAATGAATGTATAGAAATGGTGTGGTCGAAATGACGTAAAAGGGTATCATGCGAGTTCGATATGGCGGTCGTACTGTGCAGCACGCGTTCGATCGCAGTGCATCGCGAGCAATGCGGCAGGTGTATATTTCCCTTGCAATTCACAGATATCTTAAATTAAATCATTAGCAAGCAAGCGATTCTTTACTCTTCGTTTTTTGTATTTTAATTAATATTTCATATTAATTAGTAAATATTTGTTGTCTCCAACAATAAAATTGGCCTTGCCAAGTATATCAAATTGCTTCACGGCAATTCGCGTGGTTGTTAACGGTTTAACACGAACAGATGTCTGTGCCGCAAATTGTTATTAATAGAGTAGTTTCAAAGCTACGACTGTGCACCTCTTCGTTGTTCACGCCGCTGTGCTTGGATGCGTGTTTCACAGGATTTCCATCCATGTATTTTCTTGAGATTAATTTGCAATCAAGATCGTATAGATAGGTTCTCGCAGATTGCTACCGTTATTATCACCGGTGGTCAACAACTCACAAATAATAAATAAGAAAACTGATGAAAGAAGAAGCGTTTACACATCGATCAGCTTTCTATATTAAAAACGATCTACAAAATCTATTATTATTTTTGTCTTCATTCATCAACAATAAGAAGACAACTTTAGATCGCAAAAAGTTGAGGTAAGGAGCAATATATTTCTCTGCATTTTGAAATAGTTCTTTAATTTAATCGACCTATTTTTTCAACAGCTTTATATACTACGCGTATAATTTTCTTATCGACTATATATTAATTCGTAGAAAGTTTTATTTTTGTACAACCCAAATTATTTTTATACTAACATATGTAAAAATGTCCAAAAATAAAAAATCTCTAAATAATATTACATGTAACTTTTTAAGATCAGTGAATTGTATAATAACGCGGATCAAAATCTCTTCTTTTCTATATTCTTAGTTACCAGATTTAATGCCGATTCAATAGTAGATACTTTACATATATCTGTTTTTCGTGCAGTAACATTTTTCTGCTCGAACCTGTGCGAGCTTCTTGTAATATGTATACAAATCGCCGTGACACAGTGCGTGAATTTTCTTTTCAGCTTTCAGGGGAGGCAAGACCGCGGAAGATAAATGTCGCGACTCTCCAATCCGTTTCTCGGAGTAATGGGAAATCAATACCCACAGGACATTAACGCTCGCCGCCTCTCTAAATTGTAGATACACAATGTCGATATATAGTGATACAATTGTGCATAATAGACGAGATAAGCTGTGGGAGCTTACCTAAACGTCGTAACTTTATAATTCTGCACACGCGGGGTTTAGATATACTTTCTTTTCTCGTAAAATCCATGCAAATGTAAAATTAGCTGCACAGTAGCGGAATATAGAATTATTACAACAGTTTCGTAAATTACGAGTAAAAACCTCACTACTTTAATTAAACTTTTTTATCAAGCTTACGGTTATACGTTTATAGACATGCCGTTACATATAACACATATTTTTGTCACGATTAAAATAGACTGACACGATTTGCAGTTGAGATTTGTGATTTAAGATTGACATATTTGACACAATTAAGATTATTTATGTCGCTGCCCTTTTTCCGAGAGACTGTTCTGTTTCGACTATTTAAGGAAAACGAATGAATGCTAAAGTTAAATATCATATTTGTTCCGCCAGCGGACGCTATTTACGTCACTTTCACCGCACAAATGTTAAACGTGCATGCGCTGCTTTGACACTGCAAGAAGAATAACAATTAATTGTTGAGCGATCTGCAAATTTATCGCAAGAGGGAATACGATCTGATCTTTCGTATGACTTTCCAGATTCGAAATAGCTATCTTCGTTTTGATATTTCTCAACATGCTGACGATGGGGATCGAGCATTACAATCAGCCACATCCCATCTTCTTCGTCCTCGAAGTGTCGAACGCGTTTTTCACGACTGTTTTCGGCCTGGAGGCGATCGTCAAAATAGTAGGTCTACGTTATCATTACTTCACCGTGCCGTGGAATCTGTTCGACTTCGTGCTTGTGTTGGCGTCCATCCTGGGTATTCTGATGGAAGACATCATGATAGACTTCCCTGTGTCCCCGACGCTCTTGCGAGTCGTGAGGGTGTTCAGAATCGGCAGAATCTTGAGGCTCATTAAAGCTGCGAAAGGTATCCGCAAGCTGCTCTTCGCCCTTGTCGTCAGTCTTCCAGCGCTCTTCAACATTGGGGCCCTACTGGCTCTGATCACGTTTATCTATGCCATCATCGGCATGTCTGTTTTCGGACATGTCAGGAAACAAGGCGCATTGGACGATATGGTCAGTATGGACAGTTATAGAATACTTACTTGCTTAATACTAAGTCTTAAATAACGTAAAGTTTTTATTATGTTATTTTTATTTAGATTATTTTATGTTATTTTCATTAATCTTATTATGTCTTTTTTTTTTATTAAGATTATATTTGTGCATTCTGAGGTAGAAAGATCTTTTTGATTTACTTCAATTTATATATTCGTAGGACTTAGGAAGAAAATATTTTTAGTTTATCCTAATAATAATTTGTTAAACTTAATATCTTGCTTCATAGGTGAACTTCGAAACCTTTGGTAGAAGTATGCAGCTGCTGTTCCGTTTGATGACTTCGGCTGGATGGAACGACGTGTTGGAATCGCTGATGGTGCAACCACCTGAATGCGATCCCACTCCGAACAGCCGACAGATGAACGGAGATTGCGGATATCCCTTGCTAGCGATCACGTACTTCACATCATTTATCATTATCAGCTATATGATAGTCATTAACATGTACATTGCCATCATCTTAGAGAATTTCAATCAAGCTCATCAAGAGGAGGAGATTGGCATCGTCGAGGATGACTTAGAGATGTTTTACATCCGGTGGTCGAAGTAAGATATTATTCTCTTTACTATTCTGAAGAAGAATTCTTTATTCGATAAGTCGTATATAAAGTATTCGAAATTATTCAATCATATGTCTTGAAAAATACTAATTTAATAGCAAAGTGATAGAAATTTAATGGTATTACGATGACAATCTCGCCGCAACTGAATTGAAAATTTTGTTTTTCTAGGTATGATCCGCATGCAACGCAATTTATCAGCTTCTCGCAGTTGAGCGACTTTATAGCGAGCCTGGACCCACCGCTGGGGATATCAAAGCCTAACGTAGTAGCGTTGGTCAGCTTTAATCTTCCCATCGCAAGGGGTAACAAGATTCATTGTCTGGACATCCTACACGCGCTCGTCAAGCACGTTCTTGGACACGTCGAGGAATCAGACGACTTCAGGAAGCTGCAGGAGCAAATGGACGTCAAGTTCAAGAAGCAGTTTCCGACCAGAAAAGAGTTGGAGATAGTGTCTTCCACGAGAATTTGGAAGCGGCAAGACAAAGCTGCCAGGTTAATTCAGCGCACCATAAGGGAGTACATTGCGTGAGTATGACTACCTTTTGATTAGACACATGATATTTTTTGTAGAAATTAAGTAGCTTCTCATATAAAGAGACGATTATTCTTTAGTTAATTTCAATCTAGCAAAGCTAAAATTCAAAACGGTAATATTACAACTAATAATATTCATTAATATTCATTAATAACATTTATAATATGAAGATTTTATCTCATCTGTCAATATGTTACATAATCTCGACGTACGCGCAGAATGAAGAAAGAGCGCGAAAGAATTGCTCAGGAGGTGGACTCGCAGACGCAGACTTCGAGTCCGGGTGGTATGGACGGTAGGGGCGGGGGTGGATGGAGCGGTAAGCTGTCAGCTCTGCTGCACGTGCACCGGGGGAGCCGTGCCAGTAGCCGCAAGTCCTCCAGGGCCAGCGACGCCAGCGATCTCAGCGAACTCGGCACCGCTTCGGCGTGGCTGTTCCCGAATCTTCCTCTGCTGTTACTCTCCGGCGCCACTGGAACCCACGAGGACCTGCAACCCCCGGCGCTGACCGTGTCCCGTCCCTCACCAACCACCGATCAACCCTCCGCTGCCTCCAGCTCCGGCTCGGACTCCCACGCTACCGTCAGGTTGGTTTATTTTCACGTGGTAGCAAAATAATATCTTTGGAATTTGGAATTGTTCAAGAATCTTCTCTCACTCTTTTAAATGATTATTTTGTCACATTAAATTAATTAAGATTGATCAATTGCTGATTGAGACAAACTATGTTAAATGCTTTCTCAATTAATTAAATAAATTTCCTTCAAATTTAATTTCGACTAATTGCGGAGGATAATATACGCATATGATCGTATTAGCCTGAGGAGTTTGTACTTATTAACAGTTGTTAAGTCGTGTGAATTGCCGATACGTGTCGTATAATTAATTCTTACACAACATGCCACACTCTGTGCCCATAAAATTAATCTAGTTTCTTTCCCTCTTCAAAACTCCTCAGGCAAGAAAACGAGCAGGTAAAGCTGAACATATACTTAGAATTCTTCAAATTTTAGCGTTTGATTTGTATGGTTGTTATATGAGATGAGAATTTTGAGATTTCAATTAATTAGCGGTTGAAGTATTGCGTATATTTATCGTCAGGAAATAAATAGATTCGTTTGTCACTTAATTCATAGCCATGAAAATAGTACGCTACAAAGTATAACATTGTAAATGCGAAAGTACAACGCAAACATTTTAACGGATTAGTAAATACGTTAGCAGAGATTAAAAGATAATAGAAGCTCGTTGCACATAATCTACATTCTCGTAATAGCTCATTATACGATTATAATTCATTATCATGCTTATCGACTTATCGTAATTGTAGTTGGACAAAAGAGTTTGGTATTATTGTTACTACATTGATTATATTGCAGCACATTAATGGTATTTAGATACATCATTAGCGTAATTTTATCAGCATTATGTCATACTTCAGTCTAGCGGGCTTCAAAAAAGACATTTTCTCCAGTCGGGATGTGCAATCGAATATTTAGCATGTGTTACATGTATCTGTAAAAATCCCGTAGTAAAAAAAGTCTAATTTTGTATAAATGAAGAAACGTTTTATTGATATTGCTGCAAGGGGTATGTCGTTGCTGTTTTATTTATCATACATTGCTTTCTAAAGGTTGCAGGCATACGTGCAGAAGTTTTCTTCATAAAATACACATTCAACAGTATCTTTATAATTATTTGTCTCGTTCTACAAATACCTTATTGTAACGTTCGAGACAAATTGTTCGTAGACAATACACTTGAGTATATCCTGCAAATATCACCAAGAAACAGTAGTACATCAACTGTACAAAAACTGAGAACGTTAACAGCGATTCGTTTTTTATCTACAGATCGCTGGGCCCCACGCTGGGCCGGCAGGATGCAGTGGAGAAGTATTCGGAGGAGGACATGCTCAGTCCACCGACCTCGAAGCGCAGCTCCCTGCGGCCGAGCGGCACCACTCTCTCGCTGAACGCGCTACAGCGGGACATCAAAGAGGCGTTCAACCGACGATGTGGCAGCCTGAGACGTCGGGCGCCGCCGCCGGAGCCGGTGCAGCTTCCGGTCGAGAGTAGCGACGTGAGTATCCTGGTGACGGAGCCGAGTCCGGAGAACACGGCACCGCCCTCGAGGCCGCCGCTGATCAGGCAGCAGTCGGAGGCGACGGTGGTGCACGTGCTGGTGCACAGGGAGAGCGAGGAGTACCAGGACACGTCGGACGACAGCTGATCCTAGTCGACGGCCACCACGCCGGATAGTGACAGCGGCGCGACTCAGTGATAATACATATGTAGAACTATATTATATACATATATGTAGACTTTTCACACACAGCGCAGATCTAATTCTAGATAGGGCGATAATCCGCACGGCTTCTTCGGGGCGAATCTCCTCGAGATGGAGAGCGACACGTGCGTATGTTGCGTGTGTGAGTATGTATGTGAGTGCGTATGCGTCGTCGAAGTGTCAGATGAGACATTGTACGTAGCGATGGTTCTCGGCCGATTCAAAAAGAGAATTTAAGGATGACCGTAGAATCCTTGTTGATTTGATAACTGCTTATACTCAGATGACCATTCTCTTAGGAATCATTTTGTGGTAGTATCATTTTATTGAATCTGTGATGTTCTCGATTAGAAATTTAATTAGGATTAAACACAGCATAATTATTATGAGAATGCTTCCTAATTGTCATTGAACATATCCGCATTATTATTGGTATTAAACATATTATAAAGGATGCTAATTTTACGCTTCAGTGCAATCTTACTGCGATATTTAGGAGAAAAAAAAACATCTCATTTCTAACAAAAATAAAATTTTTATTATCTTAAAGATTTTGTGTGATAAAATAGCTACAAAAAATTTATTGCTCAATTTTTTGTTTTAATATCATGAGAAAAGAGTAAGATTGAGAGCCATTGCATTAAGAGACGAAGAAAGGGACAAGGACGAAGTTGAAAAGAAATTTTCAACAATTTTTCCGTTGCAAGCATGGATGAAATATCATCGGTGGAGGAACCTGGATATCATGTTGACTCAGCTCGCTTTTTGATAAAAATGCATGCACCGTAATGCTGGGTTCCCCCGTAACGACGATGAATTATTTATAAAGGATGAATTACCAGCGTAGCGGAAATACCAGATGTAGCCGTATTCGAAACAGAAACGTAATTTGTTGGGATACGTCAGTTCTCGAAGTGAATCGAAATGATGATTTTGGTTTCTCATTTTCGAGATTTATATAAGTACGCGTACAATTTCTTAATTAAAATAGGAACATTTTATTTATCTTTGCCAATGAGAAAATAAATTTATTTACTCAGTAAAAATATACTTTTTCTTTCGATAACACTATAGTCGAACCATGGTCTCTTGAAGTTTAGCGTCTCAAGAATCACGATCAGTCGCTGCGACCGTTCCATCCGAAGCTCTTCTTCATATTTTTTAACAATAATTTTGACAGGGCAAGTTATTAGCCTAGCGCTCAATCCTGAACTTAGAACACCAGACCTCATATTATGAATTCCAAATCCGTGGGATCGTGACTCGTTAATTATAAGAATATATAAACTCGCTTTAAAAGCCTGTTCTGCGCATTTATTTATTTGTGAAAATTTTTCTCGTGCAAGAAGATTTCAAAGTACTTGAAAATATAATAATCAATATCAAAATCATTATTTAAACTTGAAAAGAAATATAAATCTCTGAAATTAAACAAATGTTATTTTAACATCGATATTTAAATTATTTCTTTCACTTCGAGCATTGAACTGTTATCGATGATAAATCGACTTCGGCGATTGCTTTGGTCAATGATTATTACCACACTAAATATATCAGTAAAAGAATTGATTCGTAATATTAGGCGTCAGTATATTTAGCACAAATAACGAACAATTTATTACATCATCAATTTTGCTACGTAAAAAGATCCGTATTGACGCAATTGGCGAATCATTATTAATATTATCGTAAATTCTAAGGACAATTTAACGCTTTCTAAGAACATTTTAAGATATAAATCTTAATACATTTTAACCGCGTATTTCCGACGCCTTTTGATCATACTGATATGTACAAATTGTTCGCGGTGTTAGTTTATACATTAGCAATTTTGTCTATGCCATACATAATTAATATTAAATGTAAGTCACAAATACAATATCTTAATTAGTAGTTATATCGGCAAAAAATACTGCATTAATCGCAAGGAAAGAGTAAAAAGCATCATTATAAGTGCATTAAGCTAAACAATTCACGTAAAATGATTAACTCCAGTCAACGGTTTGACGAGTGCATTCGAACTTACTGCATTATTCAATAACCAACTAATTAATTGTTTTCAAATAAGCCCAAACCATCAACGTGGTAAACTTTCTTCTAAAATAGCGACTATTTCTAGTAAGTTACGCTACCCTGGTAAGAGCATGCTTTGGATCTCATAATTATATTATCATCGTTTGGTTCTTCATGTGGATTAAAAAAAAATTATTAATTTCGCTATTGATGTATATAAATTATTTATAATTTAGCTATTCAATCTCAGCGTTGGGTATCTATATACATAAACAACAATCACATATAGGCAGAATGTCTAAATTGTCACTTTTTACATGGTCCAATTAAACAAATAACAAGAAACTATTGCTATTTATTTATTTATTTATTTATTTAGACTGCTTGCGAAAAGATAATTTTGGAATTCTATACTTATTGTTAGATCATGCGTATATGCCCAACACTGAAATTTCAAACTTGAGAATTTTTGAAACACTGAAACTTTTCGAATATATTAAAATACCAAATCAAGATTTTTATAGATAATTGGAATGTTTAGTAATAACATTTCAGACTGTAATTATCGGAAAAAGTTGTAAAATTTCCAATTATCTAATAAGCCGCAAAATCGATTGCAATAACTTGATTAATGTTTGGAAATAGCGTTTCAGCGCTTCGCTATTGAATTTCATTAAATCCTCAAACGTCGCCGGATAGCTTTTAATACTGATTTAACGTGGCTTCAATAATTGAGAGCGATATTTGGACTCGCGTGCACATATAGAGACGTTTCTCAGTTAGCGTCTAACGGAACCTTTTTACTATAACTCTACATTTATATACGTCGTGATCCTTGTCTCTTGCGTCGTAATTAAGGGTGGTCGGACCAAATCTGGGCACATTCGACTCTGTTGTTTACGGTTTTCTCTTCACAGAAGAAGGAAGGAGGAAAACCTAGATTGTTAGCACGTAGATAACGCAGGCCGCCCGGAGTTTGCTACGAAGAACGAATTTTATCGGTATACAAAAAGAGTACTGCCTCAAATCTTAGGATAAATTAATCGCGTCACTAACGGCGAGGAGGATCGAAAAAAAGTAAAAAAGAAAGATGAACCAAACAGACGGAAATAATGTGGCTTCCTTCGGCGATTATTATCGTAACCAAAGTACTCCGTTTCTGTTTCTTTCCTCATGATAGTAGCAAGATCTCGGCAAAAAAGCAAATAGCGTTATAGCTTTTGAAATCTGAATAATTTTTACTTAAAAACATTGTTCTTAAATAAAAAATGGTTGAAAACAAAGAGCTTTTTCGCGAATTAAACGTCAAAGACGCGAAGAAACGACAAACATTTGGTACTACATTTGAAGTAAGATGTTCACAGTTCTTGTTTGATTTTTATACTAAATTGGAGGACATAAATATAAATTTTTTTATTGAGGAAAAATCGACTCTTAATTTTACAAGATAAGAATTACTCACTCACTTAGTATTATACATAGTGATTACGTAAAAAGAGAATGTTAATATGTATAATCACTTTCAATTCTCGAATATCCTGTATGCATTTGCGACACCGTACTGCCGTTGTTCAATTGATTAGGCATGTTTTCGTTGTATATATAGAGATCGTTACGTTAAACGCTAAAATCAACATTCGTATACGCTCAGATTTTAATCGGTTTTTATCTCTTTCGACTCTGTTGATTGCCCGCATCGTTAGAACTTTCAGATATTCAAATATTGCGCAAAATGCCGTGACAAATAACTTGTTGTATAACTTTGACACTCGATAGGCTTGTAACTGTGGGTTGATTTAACACAAACAATATTCTAAAGGCCCAAAAACTCTACTCCCTAGAGAATTATCTACCTAAAGAAAATTAATTAAATTTTATTAACCTAATTAGCGCTGAATAAGTGAAATTAAAAAATTTCTGTTCTATTCTGCATATTTTCAAGTAAAAAAAATAAGATATTTTTCAACGGTTTTTACTGTCGGGAATCACTTTTAAAAATCAAATTTTTAACTAGACGCTTGATTTAACTTAATTGATTTTTACTAAACCTCTTAAATAGAGAGCTTCAAAAATAACTGATAATATATCCGACTTTACATGCGATTTCTATAAACTTTCTAAGAACTTTCTAAGAACAGCGAGCACATAGCGCGTACTCTTATCAGTCTCAAATTCTTTATAAAACCGAATCTGCGGCTTTTATAGAGATTTTTAGTAATCGAATTTTGTCGAATATTAATAATAATCTTTTAATACTATCCGATTATATATCGATTGCAGGTCTAATTAAGAGGAGTAGAGATCTCTTTGTCTCGATCGAATGTAATCTCGATTTTCAATGTGTGATCATACCTGCCTAATAGCGTGAAAACAGATTGCACAGAGATCTCAAATTGTTAATAATTCGCAAAATCGAATCCGCTTTTTCACAGTAGCAAAAGATCACCTAAAATTCGCCGAAAAATTCTTGAATTTTTGTCCCTAAAATTTCTTGTCAAAAACGTAACTTGATATGTCCCAGATTTCTCACACGGACGGTTCCAGGTTTATCTTCTTAAATTTTATTAACGTCATCCTCAATTTAAACAAATCATACATATAGATCCCTCCGGAAAAATATTTTTGTCGTCATAAATCTCTCGTTTTCATAGATTTCTCCGAAGAATTCTTTTTGTCATTGTCCATGACATCTACGTTTTGCATAAACTTCTTTCCTGAGCTTGCATTATCCTCTATAAATATTATACATACTTTATAAAAGGAACATGTCCTCAACAAACGCTATCAAGAGAAACTATCTTTATATCGATATTTTTCTTATATTTTCATATTATTATCTTCTCTCGTTTGTTTCTTATATTTCTGCAATTAAATTAGTGAAGTGAACCTTGGATATTGTAATATATATTCTTCTTTCGAAGGAACGAAACGGCCAATCGTGAAATGCCCCGCTCTTGGAAAATGCTCTTATCATAATTTTTTTATTAACACAGCCGAGACTACTCTTCTTTGTTATCTAATACTAAATATCTCTCGCGAAGGAAAAAGCACGTGAGGACTTTTCGCTGCATTTCATTAGAGATCTCTCGGACGAACGCGGAGAAGGGGGAGGGAAGGAAGGAAGGACGCACGTTCGAATTTCCATGGACAACGAATTATTTTAAGGGGGTCACGCCGTATTTTT